CTAATCAACCAATCACATGGCAGTTGCTTCAATGCATTTAGGGGTGTGGTCCTGGTCAAGACAATCTCCTGAACTCCAAACTGAATGTCAGAATGGGAAAGAAAGGTGATTTAAGCAATTTTGAGCGTGGCATGGTTGTTGGTGCCAGACGGGCCGGTCTGAGTATTTCACAATCTGCTCAGTTACTGGGATTTTCACGCACAACCATTTCTAGGGTTTACAAAGAATGGTGTGAAAAGGGAAAAACATCCAGTATGCGGCAGTCCTGTGGGCGAAAATGCCTTGTTGATGCTAGAGGTCAGAGGAGAATGGGCCGACTGATTCAAGCTGATAGAAGAGCAACTTTGACTGAAATAACCACTCGTTACAACCGAGGTGTGCAGCAAAGCATTTGTGAAGCCACAACACGCACAACCTTGAGGCGGATGGGCTACAACAGCAGAAGACCCCACCGGATACCACTCATCTCCTCTACAAATAGGAAAAAGAGGCTACAATTTGCAAGAGCTCACCAAAATTGGACAGTTGAAGACTGGAAAAATGTTGCCTGGTCTGATGAGTCTCGATTTCTGTTGAGACATTCAGATGTTAGAGTCAGAATTTGGCGTAAACAGAATGAGAACATGGAACCATCATGCCTTGTTACCACTGTGCAGGCTGGTGGTGGTGGTGTAATGGTGTGGGGGATGTTTTCTTGGCACACTTTAGGCCCCTTAGTGCCAATTGGGCATCGTTTAAATGCCACGGCCTACCTGAGCATTGTTTCTGACCATGTCCATCCCTTTATGGCCACCATGTACCCATCCTCTGATGGCTACTTCCAGCAGGATAATGCACTATGTCACAAAGCTCGAATCATTTCAAATTGGTTTCTTGAACATGACAATGAGTTCACTGTACTAAAATGGCCCCCACAGTCACCAGATCTCAACCCAATAGAGCATTTTTGGGATGTGGTGGAACGGGAGCTTCGTGCCCTGGATGTGCATCCCACAAATCTCCATCAACTGCAAGATGCTATCCTATCAATATGGGCCAACATTTCTAAAGAATGCTTTCAGCACCTTGTTGAATCAATGCCACGTAGAATTAAGGCAGTTCTGAAGGCGAAAGGGGGTCAAACACAGTATTAGTATGGTGTTCATAATAATCCTTTAGGTGAGTGTATATTAGACAACTATAGAAAGCTTGAGAAGATGAGAAATGTTTGTTCATATACTATGATCTCTAGCTTTTGATTGCAGACTTTAGTATCTTGAAGAAGTAAACATCAAAAGAACTACAATCTCAAGAACTAATTATCAAGATGAATGCATCTGTTTTAATGCCGTTTTTTACCATAGTAACTTCAAATCTTTTGTTTCCCCAGCTGGAGATTTGTGTTCTACCTGATTGCTTTCGCCGCGGGATTTGCATCTTTAATTAACGTGAGTCGTCATTTGAAGCTTAATTCCCACGTGAACCCTAGTGTGTCTTGGGGTTGGTGTCTTTTGAGTCACTGCCTAATTATGGTCCCCTAGTTAAAGTCCTAACAAATAGATTTGAACGCTTCTTCAGATCGACCTGCATTAAATCAACAATAACAAGCTTCAGCTTTGTTATTTTGAACACACACGGTTCTAATGTTTTTCTGAAGCACAACACCGGCTCTCGGGACTCAGTATAGAGCTGGTAAGTCCCGCCCATCCGTAAAACTCCAAGTGGACCTCTAGGTTGAAAAAGCGTCAATGCAAGTGAATGAGAGAAATAATTATTTTCTGATCCCGGTTGAATTGTGCCATGAATGTGAACATATGTTGTCTGTGAATTTTTTATATAATTTCTCATGTAACGAGTTTGACAGTATATTGTATGATTCTTTGGCTAGCAGTTGTGGAATAGACATAACGAGAAAGACTACACGTCGCATATGTGACGTCACCGCATAACACATTTTCCCTCCACAAATCACGGTGCGATAATCTAAGGAATTAGATCGAGATGCCTGTGTGTTTTGTACCCAAATGTCACCATTCAAACAAAGGCATGTTTAGCGGGATCCGTGTGCTAGTGGTGGTGACGTATATCAAACGCGTCGAAAGCAGCGAAGAGTTGTAGTCCACAAAGTGCTCTCACACAAAGTCTAACCGTATGAAAATTCTACCCGCTAAATTGTAGCATTCTTTACACGAAAAATTATATAAAAAATTCACAGACAACATATGTTCACATTCATTGCAAAATTCAAACGGGATTAGAAAATAATTATTTTCTCTCATTCACTTGCATTGACGATTTTTCAACCTAGAGGTCCAGCGGGGTAAGCGGAAGGGGCGGGACTTACCAGCTCTATGGTCTTCACTGTATATGACTGCCTCTTTTATTGTCAGGCCGTTAGTTCTGTTGTCTGAAAGTGTTCCTCTTCCTCATAGACGCCCTGGTTCTGGGAGCAGAGCGAGTGCTGGAGAGGATATCCTCAACAGGTGAGCTCACCTGGGGTGTGTTCCCGTACAACGCCATAACTCGCTGCTTCACTACTATAGTACGACGCATCGTTGGAGAAATCAACTATAGCTAGTCTCGACTGTTTCCCGAAACCATATTGTCGCAAACTGGTCGTTCAACCACCAGGTTTATGACGTCACGCACGTGGTGGAGTAATAACTTATTTTAATGAAACTGTTTGAGGTAGAATTAATTCTAGATAAATTACAGATATGGCATTTGAGGAATATTTCGCTTTAGTGAGATATTTCAAGCCTTTATTTGTTAAAATTTTGATGATTATGGCTTACAGCTTATGAAAACCCCAAATTCAAAACTAGAATATTGTGAAAAGGTTTTCATATCTGTAAGCCAAAATCATAACAAATAAAGGCTTGAAATATCTCACTTTGCATGTAATGAGTCTATATAATATATTAGTTTCACCTTTTAAGTTGAATTACTGAAGAAAATGAACTTTTGCACGATATTCAAATTTTTCGAGTTTCAGCTGTATAGTAGGTGAAAAACAATATGTGACAAAGGAAGTATATCTGAATTCACAGTACCGGTACTCATAAAAGAGTAGGGGAAAACTACCTACTACTTTCGGTGAGATTCTGAAGTGTGCATACAGTGGATACTTTACTATCCCATGAGGCCACAGGAGAGGGCTAACACTGGTAGGTCACATGATCATGACAACATGGAGAAATTAGTACGTCCAGATTACATTCATACTACACACATTCATAATTTCATACTATATAGAACATACTTTGTTAGTGGCCGTGAAGTAATTACTTATTCAGAATAAGTACCTATTAAATAATTTTATTCATGCATTAAGGATGCATTAAATTGATCAAAAGTGACAGTAAAGACATTTATAATGTTACAAAAGACTAATAAAGGATAACCTATGGTAATTTATACTCTCAAGCTCCAAAAATTAACAAAAACACCAAACACTGCCTTTCAAAAATTTGGGGTCAGTAAGATTTTTTTTTTTTTATTAAATTGTTTTTGTGACAGGAAAGACATTTATTAATGTTACAAAAGATTCTATTTCAAATAAATGTTGTTCTTTAGGACTTTCTATTAATCAAGAAATCCTGAAAAATAAAAATGCATTACGGTTTGCACACAAAAAAATATGAAGCAGCAAACCTGAATGTTATTAGAATATTAGAGTGATTTCTGAAGGATCATGTGACACTGAAGACTGGAGTAATGATGCTGAAAATACAGCTTTGATCACAGGAATAAATTACATTTTAACATAAATTCACAAATAAAACAGCTATTTTAAATTGCAATCATATTTTTGAGAAGTGAGGTTCTCCTAGCCTTTTATACTGTTTAGAGGTGATGTAATGTCAGTGTTTTGTGTGTGTTTGTGTTTCTCTAGCCGGTGCGGGACGTACACTACTGGTACTACATGCTTGAACTGGGCTTCTACTGGTCTCTGCTGCTCTGTGTGTCTGTGGACGTCAAAAGAAAAGTAAGATCTCACACAATAGTGTCCCACAGTGGAGTTCATTTGCTTTCTGAATGTTTTATGAGGATTGTATGTTACAAGGTCAGAGTTTCTCTTTTTGAAGCTGATGTCCTTTTTAAAGATGCTCAGTTATTTACCTTGCTAGCTTGGTAAGTTAAATATACGCTGTATTAACAATAATATTTAGTTAATTTAGGCTACATTCAGTGTTGGGCAGTAACGCGTTACTGTAACGCAGTTACTTTTGACAGTAACTCGTACTGTAATGCATTACTTTTTAAATAAATTAACTCCGTTACCGTTACCATATGGTGCGTTTGTCCGTTACTTTTTTAAATGAATTAATTTTGGCTGAAGTGTAGCCTACAGCCTAACCTGTTTACAGCAGCGACGCATTGTTGGTGGAAGGGTTGCCACCCGTCCCTTAAAATACGGAATTGTCCCGTATTTACAAGTAAAATGACGCGTCCGTATCAAATCAATAAGGGACGCGATTTGTCCCGTATTTTACATAAGGCCCACACATAGCCTAGTTGGATAAAAACATAGGCTTTACTATACTAATAGCAAATAGCCTATAAATAAATCAATTTCACAATAATGTTACATTATGATTAGAATCAAATGAATTTTGTCCATTTTCTAAGCTTAGAAAATGCACATTTATACGGGCTGAATTTTATAGGCCTAAAATAAATATTGTTTAGTAATTATGTGAATTACACTGCGCAAACTACTACCCACCGAATGAAGAAGGGTTGGCTCTCAGTCTCCACAGAACAAAATATTCATTTTATTTTATTTTTAGTGTTCGCATTTATGAGGAAAAAACAATGTTGCGGACGTGTTCTCCGTTACGGATGCGACGCGCTCTGAAAGCGGCACTAAAAGATGCTTTAATACATCAAACAGAAAGCACAAAACCTTTCTGTAAAGTGAATTTCGTTTTGTATTAATTGTATCTTAATTTTAATCAATGTTTCATCAACCAATTGCCTGGATTTAATAAATAAGAAGTAAATATAGCAGATGATAGATAATCACGAAACGGAGGCGCCGGCCCGTGAACTGGAGTTCGTCTCATAAATGAACCGCAACTCGGCGTATAAGGTAACCTACTTGCCTCACAGACATGTCTACTTTTAAACAGAACAATTCAAAACTAAAGAAAACAGACTACAGACTGCTCTCTGCTTATGTAATCCGTATGAAATGTGCATTTCTCTCTGGCGCGATCACTACTGCGAAGATCGCGAGTCAGCATAGTGAGTCACCTCAGAAATCCTTGTGATATATTCAGTTTGTGCTGGTCTGACTCAAATAAAATAGTGTTTAAAAATAACTTTCTGTTTAAGTCAGTTTTGTGTTTGTATAGACCATAACGCATAAAAGGGCATTAATGGGAACATTAAAGAATGTTTTTTTTTTAAAGTAACTAAAAAATTACTTTTAACAGTAACGCATTACTTTTTGGTGTAAGTAATCAACAAAGTAATTGAGTTACTTTTTGAATAAAGTAACTGTAACTAGTTACTATTTCTTAGTAACTAGCACAACACATTGTATCATAATTTTTCATTTCTATGATGTTACTCATGACTAGCGGTGTAACGATCCCCTCATGTCACATATCATGATACTAAACTATGCGATATTATTGCGATACTCCGAGACATATGATAAAAGGTAAACAAAAAATGTACTGTTGATTAAAATGCTAAATTTGATATTACTGTTGTAAATTAATAGGCTCATTATTTTAGACGAATATGCTTGCACTCTGTCACTGACTAGATATATTTAATATAATGTCGCCCGCTTTTTACTGGTAACATCAGACATTTGGCATTATCAGGACACGCAAATATTCCCCCATTGCATTATTATACATCATAGTCAAAATTATATCTAGTAGTTTAATGTAGTACTGACACTAAAACTCTGTAAACTTGAATTTTTTCTCACACAGTAATTTTTATTTTGGGTGAATTCATCACAATACATATTGTCATTATCCACAATTGCATTTTTGTATTGCGATATATTGTGACACCCCCTACTTGCAGTTCATATAAATATCGTCCAGAGGAACATTTACTTTAATGCACTTTTATCCAGAGTGACTTCCAAAAGACAACAGAAAGAGCCTACAATATTTGGGTCCCACTTTTTATATTAGGTGTCTTTAACTTCTATGCACTGACATTTACATAATTTGATACAATGCAGTTATTGTGCACATACATACATTTACACTTATCTTGTTTAAAAATACCTGCATGTAATTACAGCTGTAATTTAATCTATAATTACATGTTTACACACCACTAAACCTGTTCCTAACCGTACCTCAATAGCAGCACAAGTGTTTTGCAAGTGAACATGAACACAAAAGTACATTGTTCTTATTTTTTGATGTCAGTACATAGTAGTTAAGGACATCTAACATAATGTGTCACCAGTATTCGTATTATGCAATGCCTGGGTTATTACACAACTACATCAGGAAGCAAAGTAGAGAAGAGGAGAAATGCAGACAAGAAATAAGTATAACATATTATTACTCAAAAGAGACTTAGTTTTGAGTTCATTTAAATATCAACTTTGTCTAAAATTCCTTAAGAGAAATAAAACTACAGGTGAAACTCGAAAAATTTGAATATCGTGCAAAAGTTCATTTATTTCAGTAATTCAACTTAAAAGGTGAAACTAATATATTATATAGACTCATTACATGCAAAGTGAGATATTTCAAGCCTTTATTTGTTATAATTGTGATGATTATGGCTTACAGATATGAAAACCTTTTCACAATATTCTAATTTTGAATTTATGGGTTTTCATAAGCTATAAGAAATTAATAATCTTCAAAATTATAACAAATAAAGGCTTGAAATATCTCACTTTGCATGTAATGAGTCTATATCATATATTAGTTTCACCTTTTAAGTTGAATTACTGAAATAAATTAACTTTTGCACGATATATTCTAATTTTCGAGTTTCACCTGTAGTCAATAGTTGTCATAGATCAAACAGAGGGATAACATTAATGTGGAGATCATTTGATGAGAAATATTTGAGTTCAAATTGAGACCTCTGACTGTTGATTGCAGATCTGAGAACAGTTTGAGACGGTTAAGTCTTTTAGAGGAGAAACAGTGAAAGTCTCCGTTTGACTCGTGCTGTAGGTTTCACAGTAAGACAGTGATTCATTTAAGCCTTTACGAGACATATCTTAGTATTATTAGAACAATCCACCTGTAATATCACGGAAAATCACATCCTTTCATGCTGGTTTTGAGCACAAAAGCAGGCCAAAGTTTGGACACTTGATTTTAAAAACCTTCTGATCTAAAGGCTTCTTCTTGAATGCTTGAAGGTTGGAGAAATCATAGAGTTTCTATGTGTGATTTGTGTGTCAGGTATTTCACACACACACACACACACACACACACACACACACACACACTAAATGCAGATTGTCAACACGCCATCTATTGTCTAGATCAGGGGTCGGGAACCTTATTTGACCAAAGAGCCATTTTTTTCATTTTTGGTAAATGCATTTTTCCAAAAGAGCCACAGTAAAAAAAAAAAAATATATATATATATATATATATATATAATATTATTATTAAAGACAAGCTTATTTTCAATAAAGTTTCAATATGTATTAATTGTGCAGGGCTTTCACTGTGAGGTTGAGTTACCAACTGATGAGCATAAATCCTCTGTGTGTGTGTGTGTGTGTGTGTGTGTGTGTGGGTGTGTGTAAGTGTGTGTGTGTGTGTGCGTGCGTGCGTGTGTGTGTGTGTGAGTGTGCGTGTGTGTAAGTGTGCGTGTGTGTAAGTGTGTGTGTGCGCGTGTGTGAGTGTGTGTGTGTGTGTGTGTGTAAGTGTGCGTGCGTGTGTGTGTGTGTGAGTGTGCGTGTGTGTAAGTGTGTGTAAGTGTGTGTGAGAGTGTGTGTGTGTGTGTGTGTGCGTGTGCGTGTGTGTGAGCGTGTTTGTGTGTGTGTGTGTGTGTGTATATGTGTAGACTCTAGATTGTCTTTTGGTTGTTTTAGGTTACATTTCATGTCAGATATCACCGTGATGTCAATTATTCTTTTGTCTTTTTGTGTTAATCTGGATCATGTTCTGTTGTAGGATTTCAAAGAACAGATCGTCCACCACTTTGCCACTATTTTCTTGCTGGGTTTCTCGTATTGCTCCAACTACATTCGGGTCGGCACCCTGGTGATGCTCGTCCACGACTCCTCAGATTTCCTCCTCGAGGTACGAGCTCAACCGCAGGGTCACGTGTTTATGGGCAAAACAACGAGTCTAACACTGACACAAAACTCCCCAAACACACTGCTGGCCAATGATTTCACCTTTATTTCATGTTAAACCCTCTGGTACTGTTTGTGTGTCGCTCAAAAATAACCATTATTATTATTGTACTATTTTTTAGTTTGATCATATATTTTTATTTAATATTTTGTATTTTTTTAGGGGATTTTACGGTACTACTTTATATTTATGCACTAGTTATAATCTATTTATTCACTTTTTGAGCATAGACCTGAAAATGTCTTAAATCTTACGTCTAAATCATTTAAATCTTAAATGACCTAAATCTTGAAAGTTTTGGATCACAGACTGAAGTTTGGTCTCTTTTTAAAGACGACACGTGGCAGATTATTGCTAAAGTTAAAAAAATTTAAAAAGTGAACTTGATTTTTTTATATAAAATTGTATATTTATTGTTATAGCTGTAACTGTAGCTCAAACAGTAGAGCGTTGGCGCTTGCAACGCCAAGGTCATGAGTTTGATTCCCAGGAACAGCAATAACTGATAAGAATGTAAATGTGTAGCTTGAAATGCAAAGTAAGTCGCTTTGGATAAAAGCGTCTGCCAAATGCATAAACATAAATGAAATGTTATGAAAAAATCAACAAAAATACCATTTAAATTTTTATATGAAATATATATTATTTTCCAAAACATGTTTTACTCTAAAATTGTGAGAAAATCAAAGCCATAAATCTAAACAAGTTGTGTTCCAAATTTTAGGTTGATATCTCAAAAAATTAGTTTTCAGTAATATTTTGTTCGGCCGCAGTACCAAACGCTTCCACTAGAGGAAATTCGTCTCCCATTCATTTCCAATGCGCTCATTTTAGATCGCAAACAATACAAGTGTGACTATGTTTTTCAGGACCATTAAACCTTTTTGAATCACGTCCATAATTTTTTTTGTTTTCACACAGCAAGTGCCAAAACCTTTACCAAGTTTCATACCATTCAGATGAAGTAAAACATTTTTTTTTAAAACAAAACCCTGTAAAATCGAACAGCATCAGAGGGTCACGCCATTTGCAATGACCTTTATGCTTTGTTTCGGTTTTATGAAATGTTATGGTTTCAGTATTTAGAGGAATTTAGTGTTCATGTGGTTTCAGTACACTGTAAATTCAAGTTCACTCTACTCCAAAAAGTTCGGAAATTTGCATTATTTTTGGCAAAGCAAACTTAAAGCGAAAAAGGTCAACTTTAAGTAAAGAAAGCAAGTAAATTAAGTAACAAATATCAACTTAGTTTAATGTCAATTCTAAATGTTTACTAATGTTACTTAAGATTTAATAGTAAGATTACTTTATTAATTCTATTTTGCTCTGCAAACATCCTAAATTGTATTATTCTCAACATGGGTTCGATCTTCCATTGTGAGCTATGGAGACTATGTGAAATCATAGTAAACAAACGTCTTTTCAGTAGTTTAACTAGTATGTCGGGAACTTTCCAGCTAACGAAAATATGTTCTAAGAATGTTTTGCTAATGTTTTCCATTGAAAGCGTCCAGTTATTTAAACGTTTTAAAAATGTTTAAAAACATTCTTGGTTTTATGAACATTCTATTTTATCTTTCTTTAACCTTTAATGGAATGTTACTTCTGAACATTCCGAAACAAGTAGTTAGTAACATTTAAAAAATGTCCAACTAAAATGTTTCAGAAAAAAACATTCCATAAACAATGTACAATATTACATTGTACAAAATAATAATGCATAACACAATAATAATGTACAAAAGTTCATTTATTTCAGTAATTCAACTTAAAAGGTGAAACTAATATATTATATAGACTCATTACATGCAAAGTGAGATATTTCAAGCCTTTATTTGTTATATTTGTGATGATTATGACTTACAGATATGAAAACCTTTTCACCATATTCTCATTTTGAATTTGGGGTTTTCATATTAAGCTGTAAAACAATCAAAATTATAACACATAAAGGCTTGAAATATCTCACTTTGCATGTAATGAGTCTATATAATATATTAGTTAGAATATATATTAGAAATAAATGAACTTTTGCACAATATTCTAATTTTTCGAGTTTCACCTGTAAAAATAATGTTTTTGTGAATTATTTGAGAACTAGGTAGGCAATTGTTTTTCATAAACACTGTCAATCATTAATAGATTCGTCCAATCGTTGCATTCGTTCTGAAATCGCACATGCTTCCTTCAAGACACGAGAACTTTGAGCAAACTTTCCATTGATGTGACTGGAAGAACATTTATTTTGTAATAATAGCTTGAATATCACATTAATAAAACTATGCTTTTAAAACACTGAACAGTATGAGACTAAAACTCTGAGTAATTTAGTGTCGCTCATCTTGAATCTCTCTGCTGTTCCCACAGTCTGCCAAGATGTTCAACTATGCCGGCTGGAAGAAGACGTGCGATTCATTGTTTGTGATTTTTGCTGCTGTATTCCTGGTTACACGCCTGATCGTGTTTCCCAGCAAGTAAGAGCCTTGGCCCCTGACTCTTTAAAGCATGAAGAATCAGATAACATCGTTTTAACCCCTTAAGGTGCACTAAAGCGTGTTCAGACTTTTATTTTGAAATAGTGATGAACATGAAAGAATGGTAGAAACCTCAGTTTGTTTTCATGCCAATAGTTCAAAAGATAACATCCATTACATTTTTTTGGAAAAAAAAGTCTGAAAATGTTTTAAATATAAAGAAAGCAATTATAGATTCACCATTTGTGATGTGGCGGCGAGCTATAACGCACGTGCGTGTTATTTCTATGTGATTATTGAGGTTGAATTCATATCAAAATCTGCCAAACTTCCCTTACTACTTCTGAATAGGATGTCTACTTCATAAATTGTATGAAAATTGTGGAAATAATGGTTCAGATCACTCAAAACACACATGGAAATGGAGGCGCCCTTATATGGGCAGTGATGGAGTCTGTGCCCTAGTGGAAGCGTTTGGTACTGCGCCCACACACACTCTCACTGAAAGCTAATTTTTTGAGATATCAACCTAAAATTTTAAACACAACTTGTTCAGAGTTTTGGCTTTTATTTTCTTGCAGTTTTAGAGTCCAACCAGGTTTTGAAAAATATATATTTTAATATATAAAATATGAATAATACAATTTTTACACAAACTCAAACTTCTATAACTTTTTTTCTGTTTCACTTTCTTAATTTATTTCACTTCTACAAAAATCTGCCAAATGTCTTCTTAAAAACAAGACCAATCTTACATCTATATTCCAAAGCATTCTTGAATTACAACCATTTAAGTTCGGATTGTGCATTTTCATGTCTATTCAAAAAAGGGGGCGTGACAGTCACTATGAACATCACATGATCATGTGATTAGATCTCCTCAGTTTCTACAGTTGGTGCATGTGTGAGGTATTATGTTGTTTTTCTCAGCGTTAAAGCAGCGTGTGTGTGTGTGTGTGTGTGTGTTTTCTCTCCTGTAGGATCATCTACACCACTCTTGTGTTGTCTATGGAGGTGTTTGAGCCGTTTATGGGATATTATTTCTTCAATGCGCTTCTGCTGGTCCTGCAGGCGCTGCACGTCTACTGGGCGTATCTCATCCTGAGGATGATCTACAAGTTTCTCTTCTTAGGGAAAGTAAGTCAGTCCATCCATCATATCTACACCCAGTGTTTAATCACACAACTGTCACCGTCCCACAGGTGGGACGTTTGCCATTATATTTTTAAAACAATAATATCTTAGTAAAAATCTTAAGTAATATTGACAAACTATATATCATTTGAAAGCTTACAATCTCTAGTTTCCATATTTGGTGACTGACTTTCTAAATAAATTACAGAGGAGCCGTAATTTATCAATTTGCAACAAGAATATTTTCATACTTCTAAGGCGTGTTCAGACTTTTATTTTGAAATAGCAATGAACATGAAAAATCACGAAAGAAGGGTAGAAACCTCAGTTTGTTTTCATGCCAAGAGTTCAAAAGATAGCATCCATTCAATTATTTTAGGAAAAAAGGTCTGAAAAGCTTTTAAATATAAAGAAAAAAATGATAAATTCACCATTTGTCGTGTGGCAGCGAGCTATGACGCACATATGTGCTCTTTCTTAGAGGTTGAATTCATATCAAAATCTGCCATACTTCCCATACTACTTCTGAATAGGATGCCTACTTCATAAATTGTATGAAAATTGTGGAAATAATGGTTCAGATAAATTGTTCAGAAACAACATATGGTAATGGAGGCGCCCTTATATGGGCAGTGATGGAGTCTGTGCCCTAGTGGAAGCGTTCGGTACTGCAGACAAACACACACTCTCACTGAAAGCTCATTTACTGAGATATCAACCTAAAATTTTAAACACAACTTGTTCAGATTTTTGGCTTTAATTTTTTTTGTGCAGTTTTAGAGTAGCCCAGGTTTTGAAAATATATGTTTTATATAAAATATGAATAATTATTTTTTTTACATTGTACATTTCCATAAACTCAAACTTCTATAACTTTTTTTCTGTATCACTTTCTTAATTTCACGTCTACAAAAATCTGCCAAATGTCTTCTTTAAGACAAGACCAATCTTACATCTATATTCCAAAGCAAAGGGAGGAGGGGGGGGGGGGGGGGGGGGGGGGGGGGGGGGGGGGTGACACTTAACAGGATAGTCAAACACTTTACTATAAGGTTCTTAATGCATTTACTAACATTATTTAACAATGAGCAATATATTTTTAACAGTATTTCTTAATCTTTTTTTAACATTAGGCTATTTAATAAAAGTACTGTTCATTGTGTGTCATGTTAGATCAGGTCCAACAAATAATATTAACAGATACAACTTTTGATTTCAATAATAGAAAATGGTGAAATTAACATTAAGAAATGCTTCAGGAATATTTTTCATTGTTAACTAATGTAGTTACTGGAAATGTTTTAGTTTAAAACAATACATAGGTATCAATATATATATATATATATATATAAGTATATATTTTGTTACCTATATATATATAGCGTGTTATTTTTGTATTATTTATATATTTATTAATATTATGAATAACCTTAATCTTTTATTTTCATTTTAGTTTGTTTAGTCATTTTATTTTTGTGCTTTTGTCATTTTTTATTATTTTTTACATTTCTTTTTAACTTGAATAAATTTTTTTATTTCAGTTTTTGTTTTCAGTCCTTTTAGTACTTCAACTTAATCAGTTCAATTAGTGCAACATTTCTTAATATTCATAATAAAAAATGTAAGTAAAAAATTTTAATATTTATATTTAATTCTGTTTTAGTTTATAACAAAACAAATTACATATTTAACTGTTATGTATATATATATCAGTGTTATTTTAGTATTATTTATGGTATATTAATATTATGAATAACCTTATGAATAAACTTTCATTTTCATATTTCCAGTTTACATTATAATTTTAGTTTAAGTTTTAGTAATTTTATTTTGTGCTTTTGTCAAATTTTTTTTTTTTTTACATTTCTATTTAACTTTAATTTATTTTGTTTTCAGTTTTTGATTTAGTCATTCTGTACTTACTTTATGACTTATTTATGTCACTTAGTGCAACATCTCTAAATATTAATTACATTTTTTTTAGTTAAAACACTTTTCCTTGATCATTTCATTAACAGATTTCAAAAGCATTGCACATAAATACTCATATACTGTCAATTTACAGGTGGAACTCGAAAAATTAGAGTTTCGTGCAAAAGTTAATTTTTTTTTTCAGTAACTCAACTTAAAAGGTGAAACTAATATATTATATAGACTCATTACATGCAAAGTGAGATATTTCAAGCCTTTATTAGTTATAATTTTGATTGTTTTACAGCTTAATATGAAAACCCCAAATTAAAAATTAGAATATTGTGAAAAGGTTTTGTAAGTCATAATCATCAAAACAATAACAAATAAAGGCTTGAAATATCTCATTTTGCATGTAACGAGTCTATATAATATATTACTGAATTACTAAAATAAATGAACTTTTGCACGATACTCTAATTTTTCGGGTTTCACCTGTAAAAGTGAATTCAAACGACATCAGAGAAACGTCCTTTAACCGATCTCACTTGCACCTCTTCAACAGCTGGACAAGGATGAGCGCAGCGATGTGGAAAGCGACCCAGAAGAGGAAGAAGAGAATGAAGAAGAGGAGGAGGAAGATCAGTCCTCCTGGAGGAAGAGGAACGTTGTTCGGGACTCACGGCTGGCGATGCTCAGTTCCAGTTGTGTCCTAAATAACCTGACCAATCAGAAAGCGCACGCAAACAGAAGACCGAAAGCCAGATAGCAACAAACACATGCTTTATCCAGTCTGGGTTTATTAGACACACTCGACTGTAATCTCATTCACACACATCACCGCGTCAAGGATGAAGTATTCATGTAGATTACTGAATGTATTTATGTTTCTAAGTGTAACTTACACCTCATATCGCTACTAAAAGAGAAGAAAACCTGCTGATATATGCACTTATTCCACTACACATCAGCAAACCCGTATCACTCTCTGATGAAGAGCCTACAGTGACCTTTACTGAAAATACACTGTATTTATTGTGCATCCGTATGATGAAAAAATACTCATCTGAACGCCGTGAGAGGTCTAGATGAAACGAATGATTTGTTTTGTAAATCATAGCGCTGTTGGATATCACTGTGGGATATGTTTCCATGTAGAATATAAAGAAATATATTGTGAAATATCTTGTTTTGTCTTTGTATATATTTACTAATACATACATACATGAAAATATGATGAATATAAAGGCATATAAATTAGTGCTGTCAAATCGATTAATCATAAACATAACATTAACATAAAAGTTTGTGTTTATATTTTATATAAACACGTTTTGATGTTAGATGTGATTAATCGATTTGACAGCACTGTTATACATGTTTTTGTACAGCAATTAGTTTTGACAAAAAATGATATTATGTACACTCTAAAGAATGCTGGGTTGTTTTAACCCAAATTTGGGTAAAATATGGACAAACCCAAAAATGTTGGGTTAAAAATGTAATTTCAAATTTTAACCCAACTTCAACTTTCACTTTCAACTGTAAATTTTTTTATTGCATTTTTAACCCAACATTTGGGTTTGTCCATATTTGACCCAAATTTGGGTTGAAACAACCCAGCATTTTTTAGTGTGTAGAATTAAAACGTATGTTTATGTCCTTTTAAAGCTCCCCAATATTAATAGATTTCTGCAGTTTGCGTCGTATGCAACACGTCTTTTTTTAAATACAATAGTAGCACCAAAAATGCTGAAATGTGAATGCAGTTACATAAAACGGACAGATATTTAGCTATTTTAACTCATGACAACATACATCCTGAATAAATATGGCAAAAACGTATAGAGTAGTCGTTTGAAAACACGTGCTGCAGTTCCTCTCCAATCCTGCAGGCGGCGGTAAACCCTCGATAACGGTCAAATACACACCATCTTCAGGCACGAGAAACGCGTCGGTCTTTTCCGCCCGGACCAGCAGCAACTGCGAGGGTGAGGATTCGTGTCCGTAAAATTGCTTTATTTTGTCATCTTTTCCCTCTTTATTCACTCGCGTGATTCGGTGAATATTTACATTAGACGTTTATGTTTGTGAATGGTGGGATTAAAGCTGGCTGTGCGGTAGATTTAGACGCTTTTGTTGGGTTTGAAGTGTAATGTGTCGTGATGGAGTGTCATGGCCGCTTCTGCCATGTGTGTGAGAGAAGCTCCTCTCATAAAAACTCGCGGAATTTACACTAAACATACAATATATCACCCGAAATGAATAATATATGCTACCTGAAAACGCTCAAGTTGTTCTGCTAGTTGGTCACATAATGGCGTTGCCGGTCAAGTGTTTTCTGCTCATCAAGACTGCATTTATTTGATCAAAAATACAGAGAAAACAGTAGTAATATTGTGAAATATTATTACAATTTAAAATAATGGTTTTGTATTTTGATATACTTTGAAATACAATTTATCAAAGCTGAATTTTTAGCATCATTACTCCAGTCTTCAGTGTCACATGTCACCTTCAGAAATCATTCTAATATGCTTAGTATATAAATCATGTGCTTAATATGATTCATTATCAATGTTTGAAACAATTGTGCTGCTTTTTTTAATATATATATATATATATATATATATATATAACCTGTGATTTTATTTATTTTTAGGATTCTTTTATGAATATATATAAAAAAAACTTTATTTAAAGTAGAAATCTTTTTTGTAACAATGTACAATACCGTTCAAAAGTTTCGGGTCAGTATTTTTATTGAAAAGAATTAATACTTTAATTCAACAATGATGTGTCAAGATTTATGTTGTTAGAAAAGAGATATATTTTGATATATTAGATATCTGTTCTTTTTAACTTTTTAGTCATCAATGAACCCTGAAAAAAACATAACGGGTTCCAAAAAAATATTAAGCAGCACAACACTGATAATAAATCCTCATATTAGAATGATTTTTTTTTTTACCTTTTTTTCATGAATGAGAATGTCATGATTTCTGAAGGATCATGTGACACTGAAGACTGGAGTAATGCTGCAAATTCAGCTTTGATCACAGGAATAAATTACATTTTAAAGTATATTAAAAGAACAATTAGGCTACTTTAATAATATTTTTGATCAAATAAATGCAGGCTTGATGAGCATGAGAATATTAAAAATAGTAATGTCTCTTAATAGTAAGTAACAGTACTGATATGTACACTTATTGTAGGTACACTCACAAAAACATGAAAGTACTATTTTATTACAGATGACACATTAATAATTGTTAATCTGTACCAAAGAATGTCTCGATGGAACAATAATGTTATGTGAAACTGGTGTTTTTGCTGCGTGTCTTTCTGTGATGCTGTTCATATTGCTGAAAGGAAAGCGCTCGTCAGTAACCGTCCCGATGTATGATCTGTGAATGTTTTTTTCTCTTTTGTGACAGTGGCAAAATGCAGATCTTTGTGAAAACTTTAACCGGTAAGACCATCACCCTCGAGGTCGAGCCCAGCGACACCATCGAGAATGTCAAGGCCAAGATTCAAGACAAAGAGGGTGAGTGTGAACTCTAATCGAATGTCTGTATGAATGTGGCGTTAGTTTAAAAACAAAGGCTGAGTTAAGCAAGTATGATGTGTGTGTTTTTTGGTCGGACCACTAATGTGTGTTTTCCTCAGGTATCCCTCCTGACCAGCAGCGTCTGATTTTCGCTGGCAAACAGTTGGAAGATGGCCGCACACTTTCAGACTACAACATTCAGAAAGGTGTTTATCCATTTTTCTTTTTTAATTAATTTATATAGGGCTTCCTCCTTATAGTCGACTAGAGTCTTGGTCAACCAAACATTGTATTAGTCAGTTAGTCGAAGAAAAAAAAAAACGTAAAAAGTAGTCTTAAGCCCAGGGTTCGTACATGGTGCTTAAACTACTTCAATTTGACTTTTTAAAATTTAAGCCCTGGAAAAACCCTTTAAAACAGCCATATTTATAAAAATGTACTTGAAAAGTGCTTGAATTATTGAAGACAATATATTGGAAATTAGTGTTTAATTTTATCGATAAAGCAATATTTTCTCGTACAATGAAGCTGCAGCCCGTCTGATAGAGACATTTCGCATGACTATGAGTGTGATATTGCTCATTAATATCCAAGTACATGATACAGATTTCGTTCTTCAGGTCAATCATATATTTGAACATCAGTTTGAATAAGGAAAGCGATATCTTTGTCATAGTGTCCTTTCAATGGTTAGTTTCCACAGTCGTTGCATCCGCTGCACTTTATTTGTATCATTTTGTTTTATTGGTTTATTTTTGTTTATCTATTTACCTTTTTTCAGAATTTGAAAGTAATAAAGATATTGTTTGATAAATGAGATCTCTAAAGCCCTTGAAAACCAAAACAAGTAGTGCTTGTAAAGTCCTTGAAAGTCCTGGAATTTAATTTTACAGTGTCTGTACAAACCCTGAAGTTGGTCCTCGTCTGCTTTTTTTCGGCCGATTTGACATGTTGAATCGGCGTCGGGCCGTCGGTGAGAGAGAACTCTGATTGGCTGTTTAGCTTAGTGAACGAGTCAGGCCACGAGAATAATAGCAAAACAGCGAGGAAAGAAGTCGAAACGGTACAGATAGAGGCTGTTCTAGTGTTACGTCATCTTACCTGAGTGTTCCTTGGGGAATATTTCAATATTAACACGAGCGGAGTGGAATAAAGAAAGTGTTTAGCAGGATTGATATTCAAAACGCTAACCACGCACTGCTTTGTTTACGGTGTGTGTATCTGCAGCCGGGAGGGTCGGTTTCCCTTTTTGAATGACGAAAATAGACGAATATATCTGCAGAAATAGACAGTTGCCTCATTTACACACCAGCGCAGAACTAACGCTAGCTGACAGTCGGCAGTAGTTCTCTCAGTGTGTTCAAGTGCAGCTTTACCCCGACACGAGGCGACAACACAGTCGGCTTTCATCAGCGCTAGTTCGTCGGCGTCGGCTTGGTGTGTTCCAGGCTTTAGTAAAGTCGCGTAGTCCGTGAGGATCAGATCATTAACGTGGGTCCTTGTGATAACAGTATGTCAGGCAGAAAATCCAAACGTTTGCCTATCATCCATAGACCTCAAATATAGCTTATCATTTAAAACATGTAAGTAGCAACTTTACACGTCTGTTCGCACTAATGTTAACCTAGATAAATGTACACTGTTATTAGGTGCATGTCCAAGTGTATGTGGAGTGTTAAAGTATAGCGAGATTACGGCATGAGCCTTTTTTAGAAGTTGAAAGATGATAAAGATATTGTTTGATGAGTGAGATCTCTGATTGTAGTCGTTGAAAACCAAAAAAAGTAGTGCTTAAAGTCAATGACTTGCATAAGTGAACACACCCATGCTAAAGTTGACTAAAAAGAGGAATAAAAAAATAATTGATCTAAATGCCTTAATTAAAAAAGAGGAAAAATCCAACCTTTAGGGACACCAATTTTCTTTGTGAATGAATAATGTATCGTAAATAAATAAATGTTGTTCTTTAAAATACAGGGGTCATAAGTCAGGACACCCCTGTGTTAAACTCCCATAGAGGGGCAGATTTATGTTTTCAAAGGCCAGTTATTTCATGGATCCGGGACACTATGCATCCTGATAAAGTTCCCTCGGCCTTTGTGATTAAAATATCCCCACATCATCATATACCCTTCATCATACCTCGATTCCAATAAGATCATCTCTCAATGCAAATCAAACCAGCTATTAGGCTAACTGAAATAAAACCATGACCATCTAGATTTTTTATTCCTCTTTTTAGTCAACTTTAGCATGTGTGTGTTCGCTTATGCTAAGCCCTGTACAGTGTCTGTACGAACCCTGAATCAATCTGAGTTCACCCAATGTAACATTTGCTGTTGGTCACGCACGACAGCATCATTTTATCTTCCGGTTTTCTGTGTTCCTCAGAGTCCACCCTCCACCTGGTTCTGCGTCTCCGAGGAGGAATCATCGAGCCTTCCCTCAGACAGCTGGCCCAGAAATACAACTGCGAGAAGATGATCTGCCGCAAGTAAGACCACGTGCTTTACTTGTGTATCCTAGAAGATCTCTCTGATCCTAGGCTAAAATCTGAAGCCTTTGAACAATAGTTCACCGACAGCCGATTAATGAGCATTGCGATATAATTTTTACCTCCGATGAAATTCTGGCTGTGTCAGAAGATTTGACTCTCAGTCCTGCAGTGATTCTCCAACAACGACAGTCAAATTTTCTTAGTTTTTCAAGACAAGCCATGAAAAAAATGAACATTAGAGATTTCTTTATAGCCGCCTTTTCAATCCCGCGTTTAACGCAGCTCACATCACTGAACGCGCCATTAGCCGTGTTTCCATCACCCTTCAAACTGCGAATTGAAAATACGCACAATGGAAACACGTCAATTTCGCAAATACTCCTGTTTATCGCAAAAAAGTTATTACGCTCGCATGAGGAGGTTTTTCAGGCAATTCGAAAAAGGAATATTTCGCAAAACTGCAATGGAAACAGTTTTTGCGCATTTACAGTCGCCTGACGTAGATGATGCGTTGTGTTTGGACAGAATACGAGACAGAGTCCTTTATTAAAAATTCAGAAATTACAAAATAGTTACAGGAATACTGGATTTTAAACCTCAAAAAATGAAGCAGAAATGAGGGAGAAACATGAGCCGCTCTGTGTAAGGGTCTTTCCTTGCCATTAATGCTTGAATAACACACACACACGTCTGCTTCCATTAACAATAATAATGTCTAGTGCGTTGGCTCTGATATATATATATATATATATATATATATATATATATATATATATATATATATATATATATATATATAAACCTACCAACATCCGTCGCCATAATGTTTGGAATGACGTATCGCGAGAGGAAAAAAATTACGTTTTAGTCGCATACCCTCAATAGTTTTAAGTCGCAATAGTTTTTTATCGATATTTAGAAAAAAATCGCAAACGTTTTGCGCAAATCTGGAATGGAAACGCGCCTATTGATTGATGATGTAAAACTCCGGACAAGTTCTCTTGCGTGCGTCAGTTTTTAATGCATCTAAAAACCTAGCAGTTTCCAGCCTAGAGATGACATTAATATTTCAGTAACACTTTAGAATAATGTTCATAAGTACAGTGACATTAATGACAACTGAGATCTTACAGTGTGACACGGCTTACAGCGATGATCATGTTCTTACAGTCTGACAAGCGACAATCGTGCAGGACTATTATAAATCGCACAGTGTGCACCCGGCTTTACTCTGTCTAGTGATGGATCCGTTGAGTTTATCATCTCATGATGTATCCCATGATGCTCTGCTCTCAGGTGTTACGCCCGTCTGCACCCGCGTGCCGTCAACTGCCGTAAGAAGAAGTGTGGCCACACCAACAACCTGCGGCCCAAGAAGAAGCTGAAGTAAACTAGCGTCCATGCTACGTTTCAGGAACCGCAGGAGAGTCTGTGTTCAAATAAAGTGTTGTTGAAGACCGTCGCCTGGAGTTTGTCCACTTATATTGTGCTTTTCTTTGTCTGTGTGTAAATTTCGACCCATTCATACTTCCCTGAAGATGTTTTTTTAAAATGGATTTCAGTCAGAGGTTCAGGTTTTATTTGTTTTTAAAAGGAAAATCTTCCACATTTGTTATGTGACACAGCAAATGTTGAAACAAACAGTTAAAGGTTTTTTGCAGAGGTTGTAAAACCATAGTATATGGTATAATATTGGGTTTGGGTACAATATTTGGTCATAATAGGTCTAGAATATGCAATATTTTAATGACAGACCTAGAATACATTAAATGCAACAACAAATCTCACAATTGGGGCATTTTTGCATTTACATATGAGCTATTTTATCCATAACCCACTTAAAATCTGACAAAGGTCCATTAAACAGTTTCCTAAAGCGAACACTGAAAATTGATAATCGAAAAATTAGAATATGGTGCAAAAGTTCATTTATTTATTAGTCTATATAATATATTTTCTCCTTTTAAATAGAATTACTGAAATAAATTAACTTTTTCACGATATTCTAATTGTTCGAGTTTCACCTGTATGTTTTGAAAGGTCAATCCTTAATATTTGTCTAAATTCATAAGTTTGAAACGATACATTTTAGTCAGTGTTGATGCAACTACATTTTCGTTGGCATTAATTGAGCAAATGTAACATTTAGCAAAGTTAAGCATTTAAAGGCTTTTCTCATGTTCTTTGCACTAATTGTTCTAATCACTGAAAGGTTCTACAAAAACGAGACCAAATATTAATTTAAATATTGGTTTGACAAGATTTTTGAGGATATGCAGTAACTCACACGGGTAATACAATGTAAAACAAATTTATTCAGCAAGTTTTCGTTAAATTCAGAGAACCGCGTACACCGTAACAGACTCGGCTCTGGAGTTTTTCAGCTTGTCGGCACAGTATGACTCTTAATAGTGCAGAATGAAATCATCTGTCATAGTTTAATCAAGAGCTGCAGAATATATGAACTGATGCACGTGTGGAAAAATAAGTCTCTCGCATACATCAGAGTCAGACTTCTGATCGCTTACAAGCAGAAGTGAGGAGATCTGTCCTTGAAAAGAGTTCTTGACACTTTTGTAAAACATCCAAATCATATCACACATGCTTTCATTGTCCAAAAGAGAGAAAGCAGTTCACACACACACACACAAGTACTGCATGAAGAAGAAATATAAAAGTTTGACCCTAAAATCAAGAGCGCCGGAAAGCAAACGAACACAAACGTGACTGTCGTACCAAAGCCTGTGGTTGTTCAGGTAAAAACAGGCTGTTGTGTAACACTGGTTTCTTGTTAGCCTGGTTAAAACCAGACCATTCTCAGTTGTAACTGAGTTATGGTCTGTCAAAGCGTCATAGACAAATCATTTCCAGAGGGGCGTCACCAACGGACGTCGCGGATAGACCTAAACCCAATCAGAGCGGTGAAGGAGATGACGTATGCAGAGCGGCGGAGAAACATCTCCGAGTGTTGTTCTTTGCTAGGTTTTTAACAAAAAGGAAACGTTCAAACCACTTAAAACAGACGCGATAGCTGATTCGAACGAGTGATGTTCGACGGCGGCATCCATCTTTGTAATGTAGGCTACAAAATCTGCTTCAAAATCCCAGCGCTGTCGTCATCGTGTAAAGCCCGCCCCAACGTTTCTGATTGGTGCCGCGATTTCGGCGGATTGGAAATGGGTTTGAATGAGCTCTTTGCCAGACTAACTTTCAGAGCAAATCTAAATTTGCCGAAGTTGTCTGGGTTTTCCCAGGCTAGTTTCTTGTGCTATCAATCACAAACACACTGTAAACGCAACATCCATTACAGCAACGACACGATGCATTCAAGCACATTCAACATTCATTCCTCAATGAACAACTACAGCTATTCTTATACGTATAAACTCCCGTGAGAGATCTTAATATTCTATAATAACAGAACAATTGTTTATTTCTACCTAATGTATATTTCTGCCAATGCAGCGACTATTTAATGCTTTCTATCAATGCTGTCCTCTATCCTAAGCATTCCACAGTATGAAGATTCGAGCTGGTCTTTGGTTTACACACTCCAGCTGTGAGCACATCCATATACAGAGAAAACACACACACAGTACAGGCATTCAGAAAAATAAATAATAATAATAATTGATGATTTTTTCATATTTTGCTTGTCTCGCCCAAAAGTTTTGCCATTTGAGCCACAAAGGTCTTTGCTACAAGTTAGTTTTGGTTCATAATATTCCAAAGCAGACTTCTGATTCACAAAGTAATTATTATTCAGTAAAAAAAAAAACTTAATATTTTAGTGTTCATAAAAATGTATATGACTTGTACACTTAAGTTGAATGTTACAGAAATGCATGAAGCTAAATTATTAGTAATTCTGGGCTGAAACCAAAAAATCAGGATGCATTTGGCTGAAAACAGATTAATAATAAATTAATTAATCAAATGCGTTTAATAATCAACACGCAAACAAAACTGAGTTGTACAAACATTTAAATTGCACATTATTTTTATTAAATTTGGTTACACTATTTAAAGGTGTCAGTGTTACAGTGTAATTATATATTTAATTACTGAGTGATATTAATTAACTACATGTACTTGCTATAGTTACGGTTAGGGTTTGGTTGAGGGTTAGTTGCATGTAATTATGCATAATTTACTCTTATTACTATGGTAAGTACATGTAACATATTTAACAAGGACACTGTAAAAATAAAGTGTTACCTTAAATATGATTAAAAAATATATCATAATAATTAAAAAAAAATATGTGAAAGTAAAAAAGCAAAAATGTATATTGTGTAAATACAATTATTTAACTTCTGTGCTGCCCTAATCTGAATTATTAATACTTTAAATTATGATTTTTTTAAAGAATAGATTCAGAGATTTGCAATGCATTTGTGAATCATTTCCCCCTATTGTTCACGATGTGTGACCTCTAATAAATAAAAATGAATACTTGTGATACTGTAAAGACGTGACGCATCACAAATGTATCAAAAATAAAGCGTCCCTCACCCTTCCTGTACCGTAACAGCGCTGTTCATGTTCGACCGACACTGACGTTATTGCTAGAGTTTGAACAGAAAGGGTTTTTCAGTGCAAAAGAAACAAAGCAGGAGAAGAGAGAAGAGACTGATGGAGTCAATGCAGAAACTAGTGAAGCAGAACTACTGAAGCCCTCGCCGAGTGTCTCTCAGATCACACTATTTGCTGATGAGTTTGACCAGACTCTGTCGAAGGTCGTTGAGGTCGTAGATCTTGACGTCGAGGATCTGAACGACTCTTTGCACCTCGTTCTCGGCGCGCTCGCGATCTTCCAGCGCTGAGGACAGGTTCTGCTCTGCGTTCTGCACACGCCGCTCCAGATCCATGTTACGCATCTCCAACTCCTGAAAACACACCACAGAGGTCACTGATTTAATGCAACGTTCACAGGAATGAACCCTCTCGGCTCTCGTTGTGCAATATAAACATAGAAAAAATATAGAAAAATAAAACCTGATTCTCTACTCCATGTAGAAATATAAAATAATGATATTTTTTATATATATATATATATATATATATATATATAAATATATTAAAAAATCATTCAAATATAACAAATATTTCTATATAAACATATATATATAAAATATAGAAATAAAATCTTATTCCGTTCCTGTAATAAAAAGTGCTATAAAAATAAATTGAAAAAATATAGAAATATAAAACCTGATTCTCTACTGCACGAAGAACTATATATATATAATAAAAAAAATAATAATAAAAATATATATATATATAAACATAAAATCTTATTCCGTTCCTGCTATAAAAAGTGCAATAGAAACAAATTGAAAAAATATAGAAATATTAAACCTAATTCTGTACTGCAAGAAGAAATATAAAAGTGATAGAAAATAAAAATATAAATATTAATAAAGTTAATTTTTACAATTATAATTTAATGTAAATATAAAAATGCAAAACAATAACAATGGCGGTTGTTCTCTATACAATTGTGAATCCTATGAAAATACATTTATTCCATTTCTGTGCTGCATTAAACTACATGACTAATGCTTTAAATGTGTGTGTGATTGTGAATGTGATTGTGAATGCGATGGTGAATGCGATTGTGAATGCGATTATGTGATTGTGAATGCGATTGTGAATGTGAATGCGATTATGTGATTGTGAATGCGATTGTGAATGCGATTGTGTGATTGTGAATGCGATTGTGTGATTGTGAATGCGATTATGTGATTGTGAATGCGATTGTGAATGCGATTATGTGATTGTGAATGCGATTGCGAATGCGATTGTGAATGCGAATGTGAATGCGATTGTGAATGCGATTATGTGATTGTGAATGTGAATGCGATTGTGAATGCGATTGTGAATGCGAATGTGAATGCGATTGTGAATGCGATTATGTGATTGCGATTGTGAATGCGATTGTGAATGTGATTGTGAATGCGATTATGTGATTGTGAATGTGAATGCGATTATGTGATTGTGAATGCGATTATGTGATTGTGAATTCGATTATGTTATTGTGAATGCGATTATGCGATTGTGAATGCGATTGTGAATGCGATTGTGAATGCGATTGTGAATGCGATTGTGAATCCGATTATGTGATTGTGAATCTGATTGTGAGTGCGATTGTGAATGTGATTGTAAATGCGATTATGTGACTGTGAATGCGATTGTGAATGCGATTGTGAATGCGATTATGTGATGGTGAATGAATGCGATTGTGAATGTGAATGCGATTGTGAATGCGATTGTGAATCGCAAGAAGAAATATAAAAGTGACAGAAAAAAAATATATAAATATTAATAAAGTTATTATTAAAATTATAATTTAATGTAAATATAAAAATGCAAAACAATAACAATGGCGGTTGTTCTCTATACAATTGTGAATCCTATGAAAATACATTTATTCCATTTCTGTGCTGCATTAAACTACATGACTAATGCTTTAAATGTGTGTGTGATTGTCAATGTGATTGTGAATGCGATGGTGAATGCGATTGTGAATGCGATTGTGAATGCGATTGTGATTGTGAATGCGATTATGTGATTGTGAATGTGAATGCGACTGTGAATGCGATTGTGAATGCGATTATGTGATTGTGAATGCGATTGTGAATGCGATTGTGTGATTGTGAATGCGATTGTGTGATTGTGAATGCGATTATGTGATTGTGAATGCGATTGTGAATGCGATTATGAATGCGATTATGTGATTGTGAATGCGATTATGTGATTGTGAATGCAATTGTGAATACGATTGTGAATGCGAATGTGAATGCGAATGTGAATGCGATTGTGAATGCGATTGTGAATGCGATTATGTGATTGTGAATGTGAATGCGATTGTGAATGCGAATGTGAATGCGATTGTGAATGCGATTATGTGATTGCGATTGTGAATGTGATTGTGAATCCGATTGTGAATGTGATTGTGAATGCGATTATGTGATTGTGAATGTGAATGCGATTATGTGATTGTGAATGCGATTATGTGATTGTGAATGCGATTATGTTATTGTGAATGCGATTATGCGATTGTGAATGCGATTGTGAATGCGATTATGTGATTGTGAATGTGAATGCGATTGTGAGTGCGATTGTAAATGCGATTATGTGATTGTGAATGCGATTGTGAATGCGATTGTGAATGCGATTATGTGATTGTGAATGAATGCGATTGTGAATGGCAAGAAGAAATATAAAAGTGATAGAAAAAAAATATATAAATATTAATAAAGTTATTATTAAAATTATAATTTAATGTAAATATAAAAATGCAAAACAATAACAATGGCGGTTGTTCTCTATACAATTGTGAATCCTATGAAAATACATTTATTCCATTTCTGTGCTGCATTAAACTACATGACTAATGCTTTAAATGTGTGTGTGATTGTGAATGCGATGGTGAATGCGATTGTGAATGCGATTGTGAATGCGATTGTGAATGTGATTGTGAATGCGATTATGTGATTGTGAATGCGATTGTGAATGTGAATGCGATTGTGAATGTGATTATGTGATTGTGAATGCGATTGTGAATGCGATTGTGTGATTGTGAATGCGATTATGTGATTGTGAATGCGATTGTGAATGCGATTATGAATGCGATTATGTGATTGTGAATGCGATTGTGAATGCGATTATGAATGCGATTATGTGATTGTGAATGCGATTGTGAATGCGAATGTGAATGCGATTGTGAATGCGATTATGTGATTGTGAATGCGATTGTGAATGCGATTGTGAATGCGAATGTGAATGCGATTGTGAATGCGATTATGTGATTGCGATTGTGAATGTGATTGTGAATGCGATTGTGAATGTGATTGTGAATGCGATTATGTGAATGTGAATGCGATTATGTGATTGTGAATGCGATTATGTGATTGTGAATGCGATTATGTTATTGTGAATACGATTATGCGATTGTGAATGCGATTGTGAATGCGATTATGTGATTGTGAATGCGATTGTGAGTGCGATTGTGAATGTGATTGTAAATGCGATTATGTGATTGTGAATGCGATTGTGAATGCGATTGTGAATGCGATTATGTGATTGTGAATGAATGCGATTGTGAATGTGAATGCGATTGTGAATGCGATTGTGAATGTGAATGCGATTGTGAATGCGATTATGTGATTGTGAATGTGATTGTGAATGCGATTATGTGATTGTGAATGCGATTATGTGATTGTGAATGCGATTGTGAATGCGATTATGTGATTGTGAATGCGATTATGTGAATGTGAATGCGATTGTGAATGTGAATGCGATTGTGAATGTGATTGTAAATGCGATTATGTGATTGTGAATGCGATTGTGAATGCGATTGTGAATGCGATTATGTGATTGTGAATGAATGCGATTGTGAATGTGAATGCGATTGTGAATGCGATTGTGAATGTGAATGCGATTGTGAATGCGATTATGTGATTGTGAATGTGATTGTGAATGCGATTATGTGATTGTGAATGCGATTATGTGATTGTGAATGCGATTGTGAATGCGATTATGTGATTGTGAATGCGATTATGTGAATGTGAATGCGATTGTGAATGTGAATGCGATTGTGAAAGCGATTATGTGATTGTGAATGTGATTGTGAATGCGATTGTGAATGCGAATGTGAATGCGAATGCGATTGTGAATGCGATTGTGAATGCGAATGTGAATGCGATTGTGAATGCGATTATGTGATTGCGATTGTGAATGTGATTGTGAATGCGATTGTGAATGTGATTGTGAATGCGATTATGTGATTGTGAATGTGAATGCGATAATGTGATTGTGAATGCGATTATGTGATTGTGAATGCGATTATGTTATTGTGAATACGATTATGCGATTGTGAATGCGATTGTGAATGCGATTATGTGATTGTGAATGCGATTGTGAGTGCGATTGTGAATGTGATTGTAAATGCGATTATGTGATTGTGAATGCGATTATGTGATTGTGAATGAATGCGATTGTGAATGTGAATGCGATTGTGAATGCGATTGTGAATGTGAATGCGATTGTGAATGCGATTATGTGAATGTGATTGTGAATGCGATTATGTGATTGTGAATGCGATTATGTGATTGTGAATGCGATTGTGAATGCGATTATGTGATTGTGAATGCGATTATGTGAATGTGAATGCGATTGTGAATGTGAATGCGATTGTGAATGTGATTGTAAATGCGATTATGTGATTGTGAATGCGATTATGTGATTGTGAATGCGATTGTGAATGCGATTGTGAATGCGATTATGTGATTGTGAATGAATGCGATTGTGAATGTGAATGCGATTGTGAATGCGATTGTGAATGTGAATGCGATTGTGAATGCGATTATGTGATTGTGAATGTGATTATGTGATTGTGAATGCGATTATGTGATTGTGAATGCGATTGTGAATGCGATTATGTGATTGTGAATGCGATTATGTGAATGTGAATGCGATTGTGAATTTGAATGCGATTGTGAAAGCGATTATGTGATTGTGAATGTGATTGTGAATGCGATTGTGAATGCGATTATGTGATTGTGAATGTGATTGTGAATGTGATTGTGAATGCGATTATGTGATTGTGAATGTGAATGCGATTGTGAATGTGAATGCGATTGTGTGATTGTGAATGCGATTGTGAATGTGAATGCGATTGTGAATGCGATTATGTGAATGTGATTGTGATTGTGAATGCGATTGTGAATACGATTGTGAATGCGATTATGTGATTGTGAATGTGATTGTGAATGCGATTATGTGATTGTGAATGCGATTATGTGATTGTGAATGCGATTGTGAATGCGATTATGTGATTGTGAATGCGATTATGAATGCGATTATGTGATTGTGAATGCGATTATGTGAATGTGAATGCGATTGTGAATGTGAATGCGATTGTGAATGCGATTGTGAATGCGATTATGTGATTGTGAATGCGATTGTGAATGCGATTGTGTGATTGTGATTGTGAATGTGAATGCGATTGTGAATGTGATTGTGAATGCGATTATGTGATTGTGAATGTGAATGCGATTGTGAATGCGATTATGTGATTGTGAATGTGAATGCGATTGTGAATGTGAATGCGATTGTGAATGTGATTATTAGGGATGTCCCGATCCGATACTCAGGATCGGTATCGGCTCCGATACTGCCATTTTTGCGGGATCGGGTATCGATCAGACGAGGCCGATCCAAATCCGATATTGTGGGTATACTATTATGTGTTATTGTTAAGCCCCACAAAAGGCACAAAAACATTCTAAAGTACCATAACGTTTTCGTGCACTCTATTATAAGTGTTCTGAAGCCATTATGAGAGATATAAATTAATATTTAAGTCATTAAATTCAAGATCACGTAAACTTTTCCCTCTCGCGGCTGTCAGTCATTCTCCATTCAGCATTCAAACAGCGCGTCGCGTTCGGTTACAGTCAATGATGAAACTATCTTCAAGATGATTCAATGTTAATACTATTATACTTGATCTGTAAGATAAAGGTCTATGTTTTCGCATAAAACAACTTTATCTTGCTGGACTTTATTGCTGTAACTCAATCGTGTTACTCTCTACCGGGTGTAGGACGCTGTCGGTTTGATCACAACACTAGAGTCAGAGCACTATAATTGTTCCTCACGCGCACAGTAACTGAAATTTAAAACTGTTAAAAGAAAAGGTTCAATAAACGATTGCATAGATAGATACTGTATAATACACTGTCCATCAATATGTATCTCCGTTGTGCTTTGAACTTTTCAAAGCGGACTCGACGCGCTGCGTGCTGTAACTCCACGTGGCTTCAAGCGCATCATTCTCCGCTCGGGATGCGCATAAGCGCTTTGTGCCGCACTGTATTGGAGCCTTTCATATCATAATGCAGTGACGCAATTAAAGCTTATTAACATTAATAATTATTAATGTTGCTGCCTCATTAAATAGCTGTGCAATACACTTAAAACATGTCTCAATTTTATAGCAGATTTAGCTATATCTAAAATAATTATCTTTTTCATTTTTGTTATTTTGTTTTTCATGAATGTATTTTACAACAATAAAAAGAGCAATGTGTATTATCCACTAATCTAGTTTATAATAGCATTTTTGTCATAGATTATGATCATATATTTTGGGGATTTGTTGTTTATCTTTATAATGAAGCTGTTTGTATTAAGTAGATTGTGTTTAACACACACAAGAGTGATAATCAGTTTAACACACAGTTATAGAAATTCTACTTGATTTAAAAAACAAAAACTGTACTGGTATTTACAATGTAGAATGCTGCTGTTTAAATTGTTTTAACTTTAAACCTGTTGGTAGCTAGCTAGCTTTAAGTACTGAAGTACCTGTATTTTCTTTCATTTATATATTTCTTTATTTTTTTGTAGTGTTTGAATAAAGGGTGGCAATCTTTCATAATGTTGTGGACTATATAGGAGGTATATTTTAGGTGGCTAATTGAGAAAATTGCTATATTTTTTATTAGTTTAAGAATAAAATAAAAATATCGGATTAATATCGGTATCGGCAAAAGCCAAAGCTGCGGCATCGGTATCGGTATCGGAAGTGAAAAAGTGGTATCGGGACATCCCTAGTGATTATGATTGTGATTGTAAATGTGATTGTAAATGTGATTGTGATTGTTCCAGCACCTGTAGTCTGTGTACGGCTTCTTCTCTCTCTCTCTCCAGCTCATGGTAGTTCGACTTCTTACTCTGTAGAATCCGGATTTCCTGAAATGCATTGAGATGCAGTAATGTGCAGAAATCTCTAATACAGTGAGTCCTTGCTGAAAGTCTGTGTGTGTCATAAGCAGGAGTTTGAGCTGAAAATTACTGTGACTCTCAGTAAAGAACATCTGTAGGTCACTGGACTCTCCCCTCCATCAGGTGTGTATGTGTGTGTGTGTGAGAGAGAGTGTGAGTGAGCATGTGTGTGAGAGTGAGTGTGCATTTGTGTGTGTGTGAGTGAGAGGTTGTGTGTGTGTATTTGTACACACACACACTCACTCACTCACACACACACTCACTCACACTCACTCACACACACACTCACACACACACACACACACACACACACACACACACACACACACACACACACACACACACTCACTCACTCACAAATACACGCACACACACACAACCTCTCACTCACTCACACACATACACACACACAAATGCATACTCACTCTCACACACACACATACTTACAAATATACACACACAACCTCTCTCTCACACACACACAAATGCACACTCTCTCACACACACACTCACTCACTTACAAATACACACACACACACAAATGCATACTCTCTCACACACACATGCTCACTCACACACACGCTCACACATACTTACAAATACACATACACAAACTCTCACTCACACACACAAATGCACACTCTCTCACACTCGCTCACACACACACACTCACTCACTCACTCACTCACTCACTCACAGAGAGAAAGACACACACACTCACTCTGTGTGTGTGTGTGTGTGTGTGTGTGTTTGTGTGTGTGTGTGTGTGTCTCACCTCATCCTTGGCCTTCAGTAAATTCTCCAGCTCCTCCAGGGATTGAGTGAGTTCATCTTTGAGCATGTCACTGGGTCCCTGACCACCATGAGCCTCCAGCTCCGACACCTACACACACACACACACACACACACACACACACACACACACACAATAGAACAGAGATTCTATACACAACTCTAGGGTACTTGACTCGACTTTTAAAGAACACTTAATGCCAAAGGTTCTATATAAGGAGAAACGTCTTCAATGATTGCACACAATACTTTTATGTTTAACAGATTATTTTTACCTAATATGTTCATGCGTTTGTAAAAATTTATTTGACTTTTACATAACAGCCAGTTATATGTAAGTATGCATAATTTACTGTTACTAATACAGTTAGTACATGTAACGCTGTAAAATAAAAGTGTTAGCAAATGCTATAAATAAAACAACTATACTGCTATAGCAATCTTTATATGATTGTGAACACTGTGTAAATATTTAGCTTGCTATCTAGACTATGCACAATTTTATTATTATTATTTAATATTATTATTAATGTTATTTTAGCATCATTGAGACATGGTTATCATAGTTAACAAACAAAAACTAAAACCATAAAAAAATTGTTGCTTGAAATAAAAACAATCAAACTTATTTTATTTCTCATTTTCATTTAGTTGAACTTGATGTACTAAAATACCTATAACTAAAACTGAAATAAAAATGAATAAAAACTATAGACATATTTAAAATAAAAAGAAAAAACACAGCAAAAGTACTAAAACTTGAACCAAAATTATAACGGAAAATATAAAAATAAAAATAATAAAACTATAATAGTAATGCAATAGTTCTAAAATAACACTGACTGAGATACTATTATAGTTTTTACTAATATTTTTGAATCAGACTTTTTTCTATCTACATTTATTTTAATTTTAGATAAAGTTTTATTAAGTTTGATGTGTTTTTGTCCTTTTTTTTAAGTCAAAAAAATTATAACGATCTCTAGATTCCAATCTCCATACAACAGAATCCTGTAGAAATACATTAATATATGAATATCAGTCTGTTATTCGCACAAAGGATCAGACTTTGAATAGAGACTCTTTGAAAAGAAACCTGTCTGGAAACACTCATTAATTAATTTCCTTCAGCTTTAATTCACAGAAGTGTCAGTTCTTCCAGAAAACAGGCTCTTATTGATATTTTTCGGCGATGGCAGAATGTTTTGAGGCTCGGATGAAAGCGGTAATGACTCACTCGTTTCTCTCCTCCTGCCTGTCCATTTCTTTACAAACACATTGATGCGTAAAATCATTTTATAACTTCACTCAGACACATTACACAGAATCTCCAGCATAATGGCCATCATAAAGCTGACCTACATACACATTCACTGATCATTCACACATTATATTTGAATAATGCATTACAGACAGTAAAGGACAGTGTTTGAGTGTTTTACACCGCGCTTTAACCAGGTGTGATGCACAAGTTATTGAGTATAAATTCAGAAGTATAAAGTATAAATGCTGTGCAAAATGACAAACTCAGGTCATATTTGATGTTTCATAGACAGCTATAGTTCACTATCGCTCAAATGTTTGAGGTCGCTATGATTTTTTTAATGTTTTTGAAGGAACTCTCTTACGCACATCAAAAATAGTGAAATATTATTTCAATTTAAAATAGCTGTTATATTGTAGTGTAATTTGTTCCTGTGATTTTCAGCATCATTACTCCAGTCTTCAGTGTCACATGATCCTTCAGAAATCATTTTAATATGATGATTTGATGCTCAATAAACATTTAATAATATTAATATATTATTATTATCAATGAAAACAGCTGTGTCCTATTTTTTTCAGGATTATTTGATGAATACAAAGTTCAAAAGAACAGCATTTATCGGTTTAAAATAGAATCTTTTGTAACATTATAAATGTCTTTACTGTCACTTCTAATCAATTTAATGTGTTCTTGCCGAAAAAAATATAAATTTCTCAAGAAAAAGTCAAATGTAAGAAAAGTGGTGATTATGAAGAAGTGTTTTTTTGCTTTGAAACAACACACTTAGGATGAATCACCACAATAAAACCAGAAATGTCTTTTAAAGAGAACCTATCATGCTTTTGTCACATGTTCATCTGTGTTTAGTGTGTAAAGTTGCTGTTTGAGCGTGAAAAAGCTCGGAGTTATTCTCTATATCAGTGTTTCTAATCTCCTGAAACGCCTCCATTGTAGTCTTGAGTTTCTTCCCGGAACGAACCCGTCACAATATTCCTCATTTAAATAATTCATACGCAGAATAAAGGGGCGGGGCCTGGTTGAGTTAGTTAGGACATCACCGCCAGTTTAACACACTACTAACTACACGTGCCGCGACGCGTAATAAAAGGTATATTTTCCATGTTAATCAGAGTTTTTGTCCTAACCAGCCGCGACACGAGCCGATTCTATTTTAGAAACTGTTTCTATTTTTCTGCGACGTCGCGCTGGAACAACAAACACAGGCACTGTTTATGTGCTTTATTTAATGTTAAAAGCGTGCAATGTGACTTTGAACATCATTTAGTGCTCCAGCTTTGTATCTGTAAAAGCAACAGTGGATATTTCACCTCAGATCTTGAAATTAAACAAATGGAAACAAGAACGTTCAAACTGTGAACAAACAAGTGTGTTGTTTGGCAAAGATTGTTGTAGTAACTCAGTAGCCTATGTATTTGAATAATGTTTAAATGGTGTAATATTTGTGAATTTGATTATGTAGCCGACTTATCCATTTCTTGCGAGTGCCGTCAGGATTACTCTCTGGTGCTGTGCACTTGCCGCGAGACTCCGCCCACACGCTGCTCTGATTGGCTGGTGCTGTGCATTTGCCGCGAGACTCCGCCCACACGCTGCTCTGATTGGCTGGTGCTGTGCACTTGCCGCGAGACTCCGCCCACGCGCTGCTCTGATTGGCTGGTGCTGTGCACTTGCCGCGAGACTCCGGCCATACGCTGCTCTGATTGGCTGTGGGTTTTGATTGATTTTGACGCATCTCGCAGTCTAGTGTGGACAAATTATTTGTCGCTGGAATCTTATCTTATCGCGTCTGGTTAGGACACGGTGTAAGGGGCGGGACGTTTCCCAAACACGCTTGAAGGGCTTAACCAATCACAACATACTGCTCCATCCGACCAATCAGAGCACAGTGTGCTTTTCAGAAGGAGGGGCTTCATAGACACAGGAAGTAAACAGAGCGTTACTGACAGACTGGGAAGAGAGGCGCCGCAACAATGGAGAATATGAGGAAAATAATCAACATTCAAGCAGGAAAACCTGTTTTAAAATCAAGACTTTATAAAAGGGCATAATATGACCTCTTTAATAAAGGCCCTGATGACAATAAAATGTTTCTCAACACCAACTTTTATTCCATCCATTCAAGGTAAATGCACTGCCTCTGTATCCTCCAACATTATAACCAAACACACACACACACACACGTCTGGTCCACTATCTTTGTGGGGACTCTCCATAAACGTAATGGTTTTTACACTGTACAAACTGCATATTCTGTCCCCTTACACTAACCCGACCCCTAAACCTACCCATCACACACACACACTAACCCGACCCCTAAACCTACCCATCACACACACTAACCCGACCCCTAAACCTACCCATCACACACACACACACACACACACACACACACACTAACCCGACCCCTAAACCTACCCATCACACACACACACTAACCCGACCCCTAAACCTACCCATCACACACACTAACCCGACCCCTAAACCTACCCATCACACACACACACACACACACACACACACACACACACACACACACACACACACACACACACACACACACACTAACCCGACCCCTAAACCTACCCATCACACACACACACACACACACACACACTAACCCGACCCCTAAACCTACCCATCACACACACACACACACACACACACACGACCCCTTAACCCACACATCACACACACGACCCCTTAACCCACACATCACACACACGACCCCTTAACCCACACATCACACACACGACCCCTTAACCCACACATCACTCACACGACCCCTTAACCCACACATCACTCACACACACACACACACACACACACACACACACACACACACACACACACACACACACACACACACACACACACACACACACACACACACACACACGACCCCTTAACCCACACATCACTCACACGACCCCTTAACCCACACATCACTCACACACACATGTCTGGTCCACTATCTTTGTGGTGACTTTCCATAGACGTAATGGTTTTTATACTGTACAAACTGTATATTCTCTCCTCTTACACTAACCCGACCCCTAAACCTACCCATCACACACACACACACACACATAAACCCAACCCCTACTCATCACAGAAAACTTTCTGCTCTTTTACATTTTCTAAAAAACATCATGAAGTATGTTCATTAATCAATTTCCCTCGCGGGGACCATTGGCTAGTCCTCACAATGTAGGTGATTTCACGTCTTACTATTCTTGTGGGGACATTTGGTCCTCACAATGTAATATAAGCATGAGCACACACACACACACACACACAGTAAAGTACACAGGACCTACATCTGCGTCGTTGTCCGCATTGACGCGCGATGACACATGACACACGTGTGAAAGAGGGAGGGGTTCTGGCAGGCCAATCACAGCGCTTGCGTCCGCGTAGAGTTGACGGAGAGGTGCACGTCAGGGTATGCGTGCTACACACAGCCTACGGCGTGAGTTCGACTCAGAGGTATAAACTGGGCTTTAACCGACCCATAAACCTGCCCATTACACAAAACTCTGCATTTTTACATAAAAAACGCATTCTGTATGATTTATAAGCTTATTTCCTCAATTTCGGCCCACAGTGACATGAGTCCCCATGAGTCTGTGAGCATTCAGGTTTAAGTCCCCACCGGGATAGAAAAACATCTACACACACTCACTCACTAACACACACACCGGAGAAAAAGGAGCACCTCCTAAAGGTCTCTGGCTCTTGGAGGGACTGGATTATTTTTAACCATGTAAAGTGCAAAAAAAAAAGTTTCCCAAACGAGGGTCTGGCAGCTTCCCCGGTGATATTTCAGTCCACAGAACTAGGCCATCGAAAGTAGGATATCGCTGTCCTACAAACCACCCCACATCTCTCTCTCTCTCTCTCTCTCTCTCTCTCTCCATCTCTCTCTCTCTCTCTCTCTCTCTCTCTCTAGTCCCTTAAGACATGAACCATTTTCAACCACCTGGTCGCCTGTTCTCGTCCCAAAGAGACGGAGCGAGATCGAGGGCTACCTCTCACACACACGAGTCCTGTTGTGAAGAGAGAGACACGGAAAGGGTGATGATGACAATCCCATTCGGATCGATGGAGAGTCGGATCATTTCTTGCAGTTTTTTTTGCTTTTAATTTTTTTTTTTGAATTAAGATGCATTTAATGCTTTTGAAAAGGTCTCTTCTGCTCACCAAGGCTGCATTTATTTAATCAAAAATACAGTAATAATGTAAAATATTATTACAATTAAAAAAAAACAGTGTTCTGTGTGAATATATAGTAAAGTGTCATTTATTCCTGTGATGAAAGCTGTATTTTCAGCATCATTACTCCAGTCTTCAGTGTCACATGATCCTTCAGAAATCATTATAATATGATGATTTTGCAGTTATAATCAATTATTGGTGCGCAGTTATTAATAAAGTTTCTTATTATTATCAGCGTTAAACGAGTTTAATGAGTTTTTGCTGCTTAAAACATGACAATTTTTTACAGGATTCCTTTCAATGAGCAGCATTTGTTTGAAAATTAAGCTTTGCCAACACAAGAATAAATTACACTTTAAAAAATAGTAAAATATTTTCCTTTAAATACTATTTCACTGCGTCGTATTTTATTAAATAATGCAGTGTTGTTGAGCATAATTATTTCTAACTTTTGACCGGTAGCGTAAATGTATTAAAGTCCCCTTGTAGCCAATACTTTGATTCCTTAAAACTCATCTTTGATCATCAAAATGACGTTTTTTTCCTTGTCTTCATGCCATAAAATATATTGAATGTAACTCGACACCCTTGCCTCATTTAGTATGCGTGGTTCTATGAATATGCAAATGAGCCCCGCCTCCACTCACTCACTCAGCTCAGAGATCCACTGGTTGACGATCACACGTTGATCTGATTGGTTACCAGTGTTGAGCATGTTACTTAAAAAAAGTAATTAGTTATAGTTACTAGTTACTTCTCACAAATAGTAACTGAGTTAGTAACTGAGTTACATCATTATAAAAGTAACTAATTACCAGAGAAAGTAACTATTGCGTTACTTAAAAAAAAAAAAAATCAAATAGGCCTATGTCAAATAATTTGGATGCCCCCAGTATTAAATATGTTAAATTAATGAAATGGACACTTAATAGTGTAGATTAGTGTTCAATGTTTTATAATAATAATTTATTCTATTTTAATGTTGCTGTGGGACAATGTGAGAGACGCCTATTAAATTCAATATCTTATTCTAAATATTAGCATTACTATAGTAGAACAATAAAACATTATAGATGGTTTACTTAATATCGCACAGACCCCAACTGGCCAACAAATAAGTTTAAAAATAAATTATGCTTCTTAAGAAATGTACCAAAAATGAATAAATAATAAAAAATATACATACTCTTTGGGCATATTAAAATGATAAAACTGTTACACAACTTCACAACTAGTAGACATACTGTAGCCTGAGTATTTTCTTCCTAACAAAAGTAAACAGTTTAACAAGTGCTCTCTCAATATAATACTGAACAATTTACCAAAAAAAATATAATACTAAAATATAATATTTTGGGGGTTTATTTTTATAACCTATAGCGAACGTCATCATCAGAGATTATTTAAGCCAAATTCTAGACATGTTTGTCGCACGTGTTTACAACCGGTCAAACAAAGATGTTTTCTGTGAATGTTCCCTGCAGGTTATTTTCGGGTTTATTTTATAACCTAAACAGAACGTTACCTGACGGTAATTTTTTAGATTTTATTTGTATAACCATGTAAATTAATTAACGTTGCAGATATGTGTCATTTATTTATAAACAAACTATATAATGCTCGGACACCCTCGGTCTCTCTTGCGCAACTGTTGAGCGCGCTCTCGGACACATTCGGGGCTCTATCTTGCACTCGGCGCAAATGACTTTGTTCACTGACGCATGTATCATTCCTATTTTGCACCCGCGCAAAGCGGACTTTTCCCTCCACAGACACACGTCGGTTAACTAAGAAATACACTTGCGCTCCCCGGGGCGGTTCAGCGCAAAGAGGAGGCGTATTCCGGCGCAAACTTTCCCTCATGCTATTTTGCTGTTCTATAAAACATTTGCGCCACTGACCAGAAAAAAACTAGTCTAAAGTCAGTGGCGCGTTGCGCGTTGTTCATTATGCTATTTTAAGCGCGCATGCTTGGCCATAATGTAGCGGGTGCACAACGCGCATACACCTTGATTCTCTCATCAACACAGATGCAGCAGTTTTTATTTTTGCAAATCATACATTATAACAAGGAAAAATATTAACACATGAGGGAAATCATTGTGGTGTCCATGAAAATTTAGTTTTTTTCCTCCCACGCCTGTTTAACCGACGCTGATTTGTATGGGGATGGGAGAAACCCACCCACGATAGATAGATAGATAGATAGATAGATAGATAGATAGATAGATAGATAGATAGATAGATAGATAGATAGATAGATAGATAGATAGATAGATAGATAGATGATAGATAGAGAGATAGAGAGATAAATAGATAGATAAGTCTGATTTGAACGTTGAATTTCTTGTTATTTCTGCATGCATTCTAGCCTACTTCAGACAGTCAATAAACAGTGCCGTCTGAGGGTGTTACTGCATGAGGGTTTATGCCATAGTTTACAGGTGCACGCAAAACACGCAATACAACGTCACTTCTCTGTCTTTCACGGTCCTGACAAGAACGTCGGTCTCCTCGGCTGTGAACCGCTGCTGACGCGCGCCTGGTAAATCCGCCGTTATAATAGCAATCCGCCATGCAACATGCGCACCTGCTCTTAAAGGGAATGTGAGATGACGCTCTGATTGGTTTATTCCACGTTACGCCCAAACCACACCTATGAATAATGAAGCTACTTCAGGCCAACCTCTTTTAGATTTGCGCCAGGCGCAAGAGGCATTTATCCCGCCGGGAAAATAGCAACAGCGCCGGGATCCGCCCACAAAGTTACTTGCGCTTTGCGCTTTGACACTTGCGTTTCAGATCGTTAAAATAGGGCCCTCGGTCTCTCTCGCGCATTGAGCGCGCTCGCGCCAATCGCTTCGCTTTTGTCCACTCCGGCGCCTCATAAACACACACACACACACACCAGAGAAAAAAACTTTGCAGGTCCTATGGCGGAGAGAGAGCCTACTCGGATGAAAGCCGCTTCAGTGAGTTCAATTATAGTAACGCCACATTTTTTTGTCAGTAACGGTAACTGCGTTGTAACGGGGGAAACAGTAATTCGTTTGATTACTCGTTACTGAAAAAGATAACGCCGTTAGTAACGCCGTTTATTTATAACGCCGTTATTCCCATCACTGTTGGTTACAAGGTCGTTTGTGACGTCAGAAACACCAGCGATTTCAAACCGTGTTTTTGAGACTGTCTTTGGTTCACTGCAGTTTTAAGCAGAAAATACTCAGCAATGCTGTCGACTTATGAACTTACACATGGTGTGTCTTAAAGCGTATTAAAAACACCATATAGACACATAAACAACATTAAAAGCTGGATTTTCACCACAGGGGGACTTAAATAAAATGTTTTGACTTGTTTCTCTTGCACTTTCAACCCTTTACATTCAAAGCATCTCATACTCTATATTTTCACCTGGTCGCGTAATCTCTCGGTCTCGTCCTGATACGCCGCCAGCTGTTTCTTCCACTGCTCCACGTTGGCGTTTGCCTCATGAAGCGCCGCCACTAGTTTCGAGTTACTGTCCTGTAAGGTGAAGAGCTCTGCCTCCAGGTTCATCTCACAGATTGACCTGTAAGAGAAACGCTCAAAACATTCAGTGTGTCTGACCATTTTAACCCTGATGTCATGTTGACTTTTAGTTGTAACCAGGGCTTGACATTAACACCCGCCAACCCGTCAAATGCGGGTGTATTTCAGAGTTGGCGTGTAACGCAGTCACTCCTACTAGCCACTTTGGAGGGTTGAATTTTATATAATATACATTTTTCAATTGTAGTCTTTTCAAAAGGCATCTGAAATAATAAACTAAGTGCAATCTAGTGTTGGCAGTAATATTGATTTTTCGATAGTGCACTATCTGAAACTCATTCCCGCAGATTTTGTGCTCACACTTAAAGCTGCAGTCGATAAAGTCTGGCAGATTGAGTCGACTTAGGCAAAATTTTTACAACTCTCATGCCCCTCCCCCACTATCAACGAATACCCTCCCACCGAGTTCGTGCTCGTCAGTGCGTGTGCACCAGATTTTCTGTAAACGCGCCCGTCTCATCAGCATCCATCAACACTAGGGGTGTGACAAAATCTCGCGAGACTAAAACATGACGAGATTTCTCGTCGAGTGAAAAGCTGTCTCGCGATATCGCCATGACTGAGCGTGAGGGTGAGATTACCATAGAATATTCCACCGCTACACTCACATTCGCCTAAACTATTGTTTTGCTGTTTTTATAAAAAAAACAAAAAAACATTATAAAATAATGTAAAAGTCTGCTCATCCAGCACGAGTTGCCTTTGCAATCAGTGCAGCACGAATCAAAGATCGCGTGATGATGGCGGAGGATTCGTTGCGCAACATAGACTAACGTCTGATTTAACGTCCAATATGTCTTATTGTAAAATGCACGCTCAGCACAGCTGCTCCCTATACACAGAGTACGCGCGATCACGAAAGTGAAAGTAAAACACAAGCTCCCTGATGTGCATTGCGCACAAATTAGGCCGCAAACATACAATAGTCCGTCTCCTAATACCCATCTCTGGACTGTTTATTTGCGGCTATGGTCTCAGTTTGCACTGCGAATATATCGAGAGAGTACTGTAATGTCTTAAGGACAACAGACAAGGGAGGCTCTGTTTCTGAACTTATAATCGGAACGCAAGAACAACTGTAGAGACAAACACACCAGCCTCGTTTCTCTCTACCCGGCCTTTTCCGAACTCCATTAACCCTATAACTGCCGGTGCAAAATAAAACAGCAATTTGAAAACAATTATAAAGAGTCTGTGTGCTAACTTTGATTATGGTTGCACTTGCACTTATTGTTTGCGCTTAATAAGACTTCAAGGAGTTCAGTTAGACACACAGCCTCAATCAGAAGTTCTGAAAGCTCTTAAATGTACAGTAAGGGCTGAACTCTGAAGAGACTAATGTGAAATCATACAGAGAAAAGCCAGTCAATAAAAACCTTTTACAGTGCTTGTATTTTGTTTTCTTTCAATGCATTTGATAATTCATACTCATAATGCATGTCATTTCAGGTCTACTTTATAAGATTATTAGTTAAACATTGCATGATTTCCATTACACGAGAGTAGATGTTAAAACTTCATGCTGATTTGTACTCGGCTTTCGCCAAGATAAGCAAAACTAAGACGTAGCTTTACAGTAAACTATGCTTCTCCATCCATTTACGCTTCTTTCCATAAGGTAGTGTGACTCCCCTTCTGTCCAGCGTTAACGGCAGCAGTGTACTTGGCGCGTTAGCGCACGCGACGGCTGCAACTACAGGACCAGCACGACAACCGTCTGGATTGAACCGAGTAGGGGACATCTCTAGGGTCTTCAAGTGGGCACCTTCCGTCCTCAGTGTTTCGTCGACTAGCCCACGACACCTCAAGAGGGCTCGACAGTGACTCTGGCGTCCCAGAGTCACCCCCCTCCGTCCCCCACTCAACTCAGCCCAGCTTACTGACCTCTACATCCCTCCTGCTGCTGAGACCTAACCACAATATCACAATCTCTCCGCCACCCAACCATACGCGCCAACCCGTTTGACTAAGGCTGTCGAGCCCCACTGGTGCGTTAATATGCAGTTTCAGTGGACAACGGTTCCGTATGGCATACCACCTACCGCAAAACACAATATCTACCCAACCACCCGTCATTCACGCAATATCCACAGGAACGTATACAAACAAACCAACAGACTCTTCAAGTTTTCAAGAACTCTACGAAACCGTAGCGTGGCGGCCTGTACACAGCCAGCTAGAATCTTTCCGTCTCAACCACAGCCAGTTGCTGCTCCTTTCTGCTGCTTCAGATAAGTTCTTTACTGTGCGACGCAACTCTTGGCCACTGAATCCGACGTCTCTGAGGAACCGGGTTGTAGAGTGTGCCACAAAACCTCGACAACCCACTTCCACTGGATAAACCTGGACTCTCCATCCTCGCTGTTCTGCTTCAGTGGCCAGATGAGCATACCGCAGTTTCTTCCTCTCATATGCCTCATCTACCGCATCCTCCCATGGCACTGTTTACTCTATCAGTTGAACAATGCGTGCTGATCCAGACCACAAAACAATATCTGGTCGTAGGTTAGTGGTGGCAATCTCAGGTGGAAAAATAAGCCGTTGGTCAAGATCAGCCAGCATCTTCCAGTCCCTAGCAGCTTCCAGTTGTCCTGGGCGAGAATTGTTGTTAACACCTTTTCTTGGTGGTTGCTCGCCTGGGCGGAGGAATATTGTCTTCTGCGTGTAATGTTTTGCTAGCACAGGTGGCAACTTATTGGTCATGTTACGCTTGCCTTCTAATGCTAAAGCCAAACATCGCAGTACTTGGTCATGGCGCCAAGTAAACCGACCTTGGCTTAGAGCCACCTTACATCCTGTCAAAATGTGCCTTAATGTGGCAGGTGATGAACACAAAGGACAAGAGGGATCCTCTCCTACCCAGAGGTTTAGGTTCTGCGGTGATGGGAGAACATCATATGTTGACCTAACAAGGAAACTGATCCTACTCTCTTCCATTGACCAAAGGTCTTGCCAGCCCAAAATGCAACTGTATACTATTTTTCCAGTCATGAATTTTGTCATTGAGGATTTCTGAAAAATTGTGCAAAAATCTCGTCTCGTCTCGTTCTCGTGAACCCAATCTCGTGTCTCATCTCGTCTCGTGAGATAAGCGTCTCGTCACACCCCTAATCAACACCATGGAGTATTTGGAGGTATGCTGCCCTGGCTAATCTACCGATAGATTGCAATTGCTAACGTCATTTATACTCTAAATGAGCTTACTTGATTTGTTAGTGTTCCGCCATCCCTCTTCATTACTGCGCGAACTTCAGGCGTGTGCATGTGATTGTAACGTGCGCGAGGGGTGGCGTGTGCCCGATCTGTGATTGACAGTCAGATCTCACACCCCCTGTGCAGATTGGACCCGATGATCCGCGAGCGGTGGATTTTTGCAAAACAAATAACACGCTCCAGGTGGAGTTAGAAGCTCGGGTTTTTTTCTAAAACCACTTTATTTATGTTGTTCTGTCGGATTATAGTGTCGATTTCACTGAATATGATAAAAAAAATGTTGCCAACGGCAGCTTTAAAGTGCGTGCACATAAAGACAAGTATATTGGCTATATAAAACAGTATAATGGGTCCAAGCGTCAGGTCTTAAAGTGACAGCAGCCTAATATACCGGCTGCCAAATTATACTATTAAAAGATATCTATATGGTATTATTCCCCTATGGTATCGGTGTCCAAATTGTGGCCAGTGAAGTGGCTAGTAACTTTTGTTAAACCACTAGCCAAAGTGTCTGGTGAGCAAAAAAGTTAATGTCAAGCCCTGGTTGTAATCCTAAAATGAGCAAGAGTAACAGGGACTAAATACCAGCAGTCTTTATTTTCCTTATTACTTGCCCTAGGTTTCACAGACAAGGCTTAAAGGATTAGTTCACTTCAGAATTAAAATTTCCTGATAATTTACTCATCCCCACGTCATCCAAGATGTTCATGTCTTTCTTTATTCAGTGGAAAAGAAATTAAGTTTTTGTGATGAAAACATTTCAGGATTTTTCTCTATATAGTGACTTCAATGGGGTCCAACGGGTCGAAAGTCCAAATGTGAGTTTCAGTGCAGCTTCAAAGTCTCGACAAGATCCAGCCGAGGAATAAGAGTCTTATCTAGACAAACCATCGCTCATTTTATAAAAAAAATACACATTTATATACTTTTTAACCACAAATGCTGGTCTTGCACTAGCTGTGATGCGCCACAATTACGTGATCACGTTGAAAGGTCACGTTTGTGTTCTGGTTCAAAAAGGGCGAAAAACGTCAAAATCGTCCGACATTGTTGTTTTACCTTTTATTTATTTGTTTTGTTTGTAAAGGGCGTTTGACTTAGTCTTCGCTTTTTAAACACGAGGTCTGTTCTTACGCCTACGTCACGCTTGACCTTTCAACCTGATCATGTAATTTGTGTCGCATCACAGCTAGTGCAAGACCAGTATTTGTGGTTAAAAAGTATATAAATATATTTTTTTTATAAAATTTGTCTAGATAAGACTCTTAATGTGAGTTTCAGTGCAACTTCAAAGTCTCGAAACGATCCCAGACGAGGAAAAAGAGTCTAATGTGGACAAATTTTATAAAAAAATAAAAATGTATATACTTTTTAACCACAAATGCTGGTCTTGCACTAGCTATGATGCGCCACACATTACGTGATCACGTTGAAAGGTCACGTTTGTGTTCTGGTTCAAAACGGGCGAAAAACGTTAAAATCATCCGACATTGTTGTTTTACCTTTTATTTATTTGTTTTGTTTGTAAAGGGCGTTTGACTTAGTCTTCTCTTTTTAAACACTAGGTCTGTTCTTACGCCTACGTCATGCTTGACCTTTCAACCTGATCACGTAATTGTGTCGCATCACAGCTAGTGCAAGACCAGCATTTGTGGTTAAAAAGTATATAAATGTTTATTTTTTTTTTATAAAATTTGTCTAGATAAGACTCTTATTCCTCGGCTGGATCGTGTCGAGACTTTGAAGCTGCACTGAAACTCACATTTG